CCCCACCTTTTGCTGGTGGGTAACAGCCTGCCTGTTCCTGGGGGCACCCCCCTCTTCTCCCATCCCTGGGCGCTGCGGGGTGCAGCAGCACAGCAAAGGCTTGCGCAGCGTTCAGCCTTCCTCTTGGTACTGCCATCAGAGTAGGAAAATTGATCTGTCGATTGTTGCACTTTTCCATGTCAAAAGAACAGGTCCGTGGGGTTTTTGAGAAGGGAGCCAGGGGCTCTTTCGAAAAGAATCTAAATTGTGCTTTGATGAAGGCAGGTAATAGTTACCAGATTCTCTGTGTGACAATAAGGCTCACGCTGCCCGGTTCCCCCCTCCAGAACCGTCGGGGGAAGGTGCAGCGTCCCGCAGGACAGCCCGGCGTGGGAGGGACGGCGGCCGCTCTGCCTCCCGGGAAAGCCTCCTGCGCTGTTTCAGCGTTGAAGCAAAAAGCAGGATTTCTGGGGAGCAGAGTTGGGCATTGGCCGGGTTTTGCCATGGGCGACACGTGAGCTCTTAGGGCCGTCATGGTGCGGAGGTGTTTCCATGCACTGAGTTGCCAGCAAAGCCCCGGGGGCTGGCGGGGGCGTCCCTGGCGCCATGCGGGGACCAAGCGGGCACTGGCAGCCCTGGCCGGGCAGGGAAGGGCAAAAACACCCGTGTGCCGTGTCCAGGGACGCAGCCACCGCGCTGTGAACCACGGCTGGCGCTTTGCCACGGGCCAGGGCTCCACGTTCCTGGGGGCAAACACGGGCCGGGGTTGTCAGCGCCGCCTTGCAGAGAGCGGCCCCCGGCAGCGGGGACCCCCTGGCCGCGGCGGGCTGGCGTTCGGGGTGCCTGCAGCTTCTCCGTGCGCAGCCGCCCAGCCCGCGGTCGCCCCTCGGGAAGGCTCCCTCTGGCATTAAACACCCTTTGGTGTGGGCGCAGGTAGAAAAATCAGCTCCGGAAGGAATGGATGGAGAATTTTTGAAATGGGATGAGAGATGTTTGTGGAGCCAGGTAACTGTAAAAATATTGCATTCAATATATATTTTAAAGAAGAAATAAACATTTCTCAGGATGAAATGTGATTTTTTTTCCCTAGAAGGATAAACAGCTGTTAACAGGAGAAACGTGTTTCATGTTAGTATGTCTTACCTAGCATATAAAGATACCTCAATACATTTAATATTTTCTTGAGAGAGGCAATAAAATACAAGCATAGTTCAGTCTAGCACAGCTTTGACATAAGTCTGGAGGCATCATCCCAGGCTCAGCTCTCTTCTGGGCCCACCTGCCAGCATGGATCCAGTTCCTTCACTTGCAGGGTGTGACAGTACGTAACACTTGGGTTTACCCAGGGTATTGTTTTATTTAACCATATCCGTGCCTTAAAAGAACCTTGCCTTAAAAGCAGCCTTGCTTGGAGAACCATTTTCTAAAATAATCAGAGGTTCAAAAGGACAGTACAAAGATTAAAATGTTGGTTTGTATAGCAAAATTAGTGGCCAGTTTAGGAGAGGATATAGGTGGTGCTTATGAGGCTGCTGTTTACATCACTTCAGTGACTCTTCTACCGCCCAGCGCAGCTGTGGCTGCCCCCTCCCTGGCAGGGCTCAAGGCCAGGCTGGATGGCGCTGGGAGCAGCCTGGTCTGGTGGGAGGTGTCCCTGCCCAGGGCAGGGGGTGGGAACTGGGTGGTCTTTAGGGTCCCTTCCAACCCAAACCATTCTGTGATTGATCTTGTGATTGTGTGGCATTCTGTGATCCCAGAGCTTAATTCCTGTACAGGGTGGTAGGGTGAGGTGCCTCAGTGTACCTGTAAAAATTGCCTTTTGCCTTGACTTCCACTGGCGTTTGCGGATCACAAGTCGCCTGCCTCTGGCGGCTTCG